CTCTCTCTCTCTCTCTCTCTCTCTCTCTCTCTCTCTCTCTCTCTCTCTCTCTCTTTCTCCCACTCATATATAATGCAATGAAACAGTCTGCCCAGAGGATAGGTAAAAGGGTGAAAGTTTAAACTATGTAAGTAATCTATGATTGGGTCAGTTATAACCAGAAGTAATTTATTCTGCAAAACACAGGGACAGAATCCTAATCATTTATATTAAACAGAAGGGGTAAATTATCTGCAGACAAAGAAAGCTGAAAATACACAAGGAGGCAGTGTTATGGCTTGTGTCTTGATCCGCCCACACACACCCAATGCCTCATGAGGTAGTAAGTGGGGCTTTTTCAGAGGTAGCTGCATTTAGAGTGTGTGACTGATTCACTGTGCAATGCTAAGCTGAAGGGCTCTAGAATTAAGGATGTAAGGATGTGAGTGCTACCTGCCCTAAGTAGTCTGGAAAAGATAAAAGGAACAGAAAGATGCTATTATTAGATTCCCTTGCTTGCTTGCTTTTGCTGTCTTCTGCCACTGTGAACTGTTGCCCCTCTGCCATGTGCCACCTTACCTTGGACCCAGTTGGTTACAGACTGAAGCTTCTACAATCTGTGAGTTAAACAACCTTTTTCCCCTTTAACTTTGGATGTCAGGTATTTTGTCTCAGCAACAAGATAAAAGTAACCAAGATAGTATCTTATCAAAAAATTTCATATAAACTACAACCTCTCCCCATTCTACTAGACCTCAACCGAGAGAGAGAGAGAGAGAGAGAGAGAGAGAGAGAGACAGAGAGAGAGAGAGACAGAGAGAGAGAGAGAAAGAGAAAGGATCAGATATACATACACAGAGCATCATGGGAAAGCAAATAAACAGAAGACCTTCATGGTCTCTCAACTTACTTAAGGCAGAGCAAAGGGGTACAAATGGAGAGTAAAGCAAATAACAGGAAGTGATACTCTATATAAAGGTTGTAGAAGAGATGGAGAAACTAGACAAGTTCAAAGAGGAAATGAACTGAAAGTTCATGGAATTGTCATTCAATATGACCAGGAGGATTCAGGGGAAATAAGTGTAAAATTGGAGCAGCTGACAATAATGGTTCAAAATATGAATGATAGATTCACCAAGGATAGAGAATTCTTGAAAAAATATCAGACAGAAATATCTAAAATAAAAAACTGTATAGAATTCATAAATTGCAGAAATGACCAATGTGAAGACATAGTGCCTGAAATTAAGAACAAAATGGTAAATTATGAAGAAATACACAAAGAAGCCACAAAAAATAAGATATAAGTGAACCAGAAAAGGCCATCTAGATGATGCGAAGAAGACCAAGTCAAAGGTAACTGGAGTTAGAGGAAAACTAGAAGATAACACAGATGGAATTACTAATATGTTTGTAGAAATCATAGTAGAAACATTTTCAAATATGAGGGAAAAGCTCAACATACAAATCAAGTTTAACATATGTAATCAAGGCTTCTAGAACACTGAATAACTATGATGAAAAAAAAAGAAGCATATCCTTATTAAACTAGCCATTAGAGAAAGGCAAATTAAAACAACTCCAAGATTCTATTTTACAACAGAAAGAATGACAATCACCAAAAGGTCAAAAAATAACAAATGCTGGCAAGGTTGCAGTGAAAAAGGAACCCTGCTATATTGCTGGTGGAAATGTAAACTAGTGCAACCATTATGGAAATCAGTACGCACGTATGTTAGCTACTTTTCTTTTCTTTTCGTTTTGTAGCATATTTGATGCATTTTAATCTATTGTTGTTATGCATTTTATTTATTTATTTTTAATGAATTTTATTGATACATTTTAGGTATACAATATAATGACGTTCATCATTGGAAATTTACATCTTTACATGATCTATCTTGGTTCTTCTTTTTTCCCCACTCCCCTACCTTCCCTTCAAATCCTCCACCCCTCCCTATTTGCAAAAACTTCATTTCCATTTTCTCATATTGATTCCATTCTCTTCTTTTCTTTCCCTACCCCTCCAACTTCCCCTTCCCCCTTGCCCCTTTTCTTCCTATGTCATATTATCTATTATATCTTTTATTCCTTATTTACATTTTCAGTTTCTCACACCAGAGAAACTATTTGGCATTTACATGTTTTCCTATTTATTTCACTTAAGAGTATCACCTCAATGTGCATCCATTTAGCTATAAATGTCTCTAATATATCATTCTTTATAGCTGAGTAGTACTCCACTTCATTTTTAAAAACCCACATTTTCTTTATCCAGTCTCCAGTTGATGGGCACTTAGGCTGTTTCCAAGTTTTAGCTAGTACAAACTGCTGTTATGAACATGGGTTCACATATATCACTGTGGTATGGTCAAGCATCACCTTGATCCTCAAAGCAGAGAAAGACCCAACCAAAAAAGAGAACTATAGGCCAATCTCACTAATGAACATAGATGCAAAAATTCTTAATAAGATACTGGCAAATAAAATGCAGAAGATGATCAAGAAGATCATATACCCTGAACAAGTGGGATTTATCCCAGGGATGCAAGGATGGTTCAACATACACAAATCAATAAATGTAATACATTATATTTATAGAGCCAAGGATAGAAACCATATGATCATCTCAATAGATGCAGAAAAAGCATTCAACAAAATCCAACACACTAAAAACTCTACAAAAAACTGGAATAGACTGTCTCTACCCCAATCTGATAAAAGTCATCTATGAAACACCAATAGCCAACATCATATTAAATGGTCAAAAACTGAAATCCTTCACAATAAAATCAGGAACAAGACAAGGATGTCCACTATCACCACTCCTGTTCAATATAGTTTTGGAAACATTAGCCACAGCAATTAGACAAAAGAAAGAAATAAAAGGAAGATAGGAAATGTGGAAGTCAAATTGTCATTATTTGCAGGCGACATCATACTCTATATAGAAAACCCCAAGAACTCCACCAAAAGTCTTCTAGGTTAATATAAACAGCACACACCACATATTTTCTAAGCTTCTAGCTCTGTAAAATTTTTGTTTTATAAAAAAAGTTAGAAAAGCACTTCTCAGCCAATGTGGATACATTTTTATTACCCTCTTGTTCTTCAAAATTAACAATGAAAACAAATGCAGGCAGCATAAGTCTTCTACCAAAAAGTCTTCTAGACTTAATAACCAAATTCAGTAAAGCAGCTGGATACAGGGTCAGCGCACAAAAACCAATAGCTTTCCTGTACATGAACAATAGAGTCACTGAGAGACAAAAGGGGCAAACAATTCCTTTCACAATAGCATCCAAAAAATTGAAATGCCCAGGAATCAACCTACGGGAAGAAACCAAAGGCCTCTACCCTGTTTGTTACTCTTCTCTCCTTGCTAAGACAAAATACCTGACAACAAAAGTTAAATAGGGAAAGGGTTTATTTAGCTCACAGTTCTGTATAGGTGTCAGTCCAAAATCCACTGGCTCCAAGGCAGGGATGGCAAACGGGCATCGCCAAGGAGAAACAACATGGTGTGTACAAGGTAGCAAAGGCAACAAGGGACCTTAATAGAGTCCTCCTGCGCCTTTTATCTCATCTAGACAGCTGGGATTAGGGCGGTGCCAAACCAATCACTCACGTGTGGTGGTTTAGTAGTCACAGGCCCTGAATCCCAGCATCACACACTCTAGATTCAGCCACCTCTGAAAAAGAAAGCCTCACCTCATCTGGATGAGGCTTTGGAGAACATCTAAACACAAATCATGACAGCAACCATCAGGAATGATTTCCAAACTATTGATGTGATAATATTAACAGATCCTCAGGAGAAATCACTTCCTTGACTGGGCTCCTTAAAATATTCAGCCACTTGGGGATTCACTTTTGTTTGTTCACTTGTGTGAACATGTTAAGGAGATAACATTTCATATGTAGGAAGCCCTGAAAAAAATTTATTTATAAGAGAAATGCTAATGGTTTTGAGGCCTCCATCATTTCTCTGGTTGACTGCAACACCTATTTATTCTGGTCTTGTATTTCATAAAATATATGGGCTGTCTGCAGTAATCTCTGCAAAACACATTTCTAAAATGAAGAGAACTCTTTTTAAAGACATTTGAAAATACATTTTAGTTGTACAGCTATAGATTAGACTCTTCAAAAAAGGAAATGGGGAATAATAACAT